CACGTATGATCTTGTTGTTTCTTCACTGTGCAGACACACCAGAGACATTTTAAACTCACAGCGTCTGAGTCAAACTCGAAAGTAACGTAGAAGATTCGATAAAGTAACTCAACCTTGCAATCATAAACACTGCGCCTGTTAACATTCCAGCCATGCCTCGCGCGCTCGGCAGGCCAGTTCGTGCGACAACGAATACATGTGTGATTAAACGAAAGATAATGATAAAATTTATGAAGAAAATGTTGCATATATGTATCAATCGAAACTCGTTAGGAAAAAAAGTGCAGTGTGCACGGCGAGGAACTCCAAACCTCGATTGTTGTCCGAATTTGGACCCCTCCTGGAAACTGCTTCAACCTCTTGCTCTTGAAATCTGTGCGGAGAATCTGGAAACAGAGAAGGGAAAATAATCAGATCTAGGAAAATTCTTTTTGAAAAGCAATTATTGAGCAGTACTTTCAGGTCTCAAAAGCATGACACTCACATGCTAGAAACCCAATGAGCAACATCTACAAAATTCTCAAAAAGTTCAAGGGAAACGGCATGGCCAGCCATTATTAAACTGTCTCAATGAGTTTTGCTCGGTTAGCGCGGCCCTCCTTGAACCTGCCCCACGTCTGTAGACTTATCTCCAACTCGTACCTATAGTTACAAATGGCTGCGAAGAGCGCGCCCCATGTCCCAGTGCAAATCTGTCTTCCGCACGGGAACCCTGGCGGTTAAGCGCGCAGACCCTATAACTTTCAACGCGAAATAAGTGACACTGAAGGAAAACCGGTTCTTTTCTGCAGGAGAATCACAAGAACAAGTGCAGTTGTTAACGTGCGATGATTCATCTTTCATCTCTTGCCATTTAGATCGTTTTTCATTGATATGGTATCCCCTCAGAGCATGCAGATACTGTGCATTTAATCTAGAGAACGAGATGTGGATTCTGAATTTGCTCACTGTGAGCACGCAAAAAAGGAAACCAGCTTTGTCTTCAAAACACAAGCAAAAGCAAGAAGTACGGGCCCATACAAGTCTTCAACCCTTAGCATCAAGAAACGGAGTCATGCTGCATAACTTGCTATTAGAAAGAGGTCACAAAGAAAGTCCATGCAAAAAGTTCACAGAAAAAGATCAATCATACAATCTTTAGCCTTTCATGTCAACTTGTTGCCGCTGGCTCTACGACGCCCTCCCAGCTCGTTCCATGACACTGATAAGCTGTCATCGATCAAGATCTTCACTGGTTAGCCTATGTAGCTCAAATAGTAGACATCCGTGCCTGCATTGCGCGCTCCGACACTTAATGCATGCACAATATTTTTGGTTATGACATAATGAAAGCAGTTTTATCCTCAGTGCGTCGCGATAGCTACAGGGCTCCTAAGTTGCAGAGTCGTTTGCACCAGCGGTCGCGCGACCGCTGGTGCAAACGACTCTGCAATAGGAGCCCTGTACCTAAGGAACCGGCCATACTATTCCAGGGGGTGACTATGATTCCTGTGATTCCTGTAATTCCTGTGATTCCTCGACTTCCGATATGCCGCACTACGGATCGCTTTGCGAATTTCAGTATACATTGTTTTTTCGCAATAAACATTGTTGCGGGACCCACAGGAACCACAAGAATCGCACGAATTGCAGGAATCACAGGAATAGTATGGCCGTCCCTAAGGAATGCGCTCAGATGAGGAGTGCGAGGCAAAGAAGCGAGAGGTATCTGAACCACATACTTCTCACAGGCCGTACTTATACTTTTGTACACTTGTCCACCCAACAGATATAAACAAAGACTAAGTAGCAAAAACTGAGTTATAAGTTAAAGGGAAAGCGTGATAGCACCCTAACTGAGCTAGAAGCCTAAATAAGCTGCTGAAATTGATGTATACGGTAATTTCCCCGAACAATTAAGCTATCAAAATCCATCTTTACTTACAATGCTCACCCGCAGACTACTATCCTTTCTGGGAATAGAAAACTCGAAGGCTTTGTATCTACAAGTTTTCTAAACATGCTCGAACTTTTTTTATCCAAGTAGTCTATCATCAAAAATGAGATATGTCAAAAGTACTTTTAAAATTGAAATGTTCTTGAGTCTCCTAGTCTCAGAGCGGATGATACTTACCTCTTGACACTTGGATCTGCAGCTTTCTTCTTCTTATGGCCGCCGTAAAGGAAACAAGTTCGGTAGAAAGCTCCTCTCTGTTTAAGCACAAACAAATCATGATTTTCTTATCCATGCTAAGTTCTTGAAATACCATATCAATGAAAAACGATCTAAATGGCAAGAGATGAAAGGTGAATCATCGCACGTTAACAACTGCACTTGTTCTTGTGATTCACCTGCAGAAAAGAGCCGATTTTCCTTCAGTGTCACTTATTTCGCGTTGAAAGTTATAGGGTGTGCGCGCTTAACCGCCAGGGTTTCCGTGCGGAAGACAGATTTGCACTGGGACATGGGGCGCGCTCTTCGCAGCCATTTGTAACTATAGGTATGAGTTTATAGTTAAAGGTCCAACAAACAGCCACTATAGGTCAACCTAAAAGCAAGCTTTGCATTTCGAGAAGAATTTTACTATAACAAGTACGATCACTCAAGTAACAAACATAATAACTCACAGATATATAGAAGCGATAAAGTTCAGATATTAGCGCAAGGATGTCTCGACTTCTCTCCCGAACCTTTGAACTTTCCAGGAAGACACAACTGACGAGAAACATTATATGTTACACAGGAAGAAAACAGCGTTGTTTTTTGAAGAGAACTGCGTAGTAACGAAGTCAAAGAAACACAAAGGAGAGAAAATGAATAAAGCATTGATGCTTTTCACGGGAATGAATGCTCCAAGAGTATTTTTCTTGAAGATAAGCAGCACTACCTTCCTGTTGCACTGATATTCAACATTTTTAATCTGATGTACATATGTAAACATGCTTCAGTTCAGAACAGAGAAAAGAAAAAACACTGAATTAAAAACAAGTTGCAATATGCATATGTCATGAACCTGCTGGCATCTCGATGTGGTAGGGGCACGACGAGGTGCCGGCAAGTTGCACTCCACAAAATACACACTATTTTGTATACTCTCTGACCTGCGGGCGAGATGCCGGCAGGTTGAGGGCGAGATGGCATCTCAAATTTCGACAAAAATAGATCGTGAACCTGCCGGCAGGTTCAGAATTTGAGCCCTATAGCATGAAAACGAGGACATTTTTTAGAATTTCTTTCAATTTTCACATTATTTTGATAGCAAACTAGACTATCACACCGAAAATAGGCGATTTGTCTGATTTGGGGGTCTCCGTAGGCAGTTTAAAAATCCTGGCGACCTCAGGTCGACATCAGGGTGAGCTGACGGCAAGATGTGCCGGCAGGTAGGGTGGATTACTACGGGCCCAAATTACAAAGTAGATCCTAAAAATGCATGTTCGACGCCCATAAATTTCGGTATAGTTGTAATCTTCTCGTTGGTTACTTGAGCGTAGACCAATATTGGTACCTTTATTGCACAGAATACTGACCAACGTCTTGGCGAACTCGTCTTCTTCGGAGTCTGAAAAGTCGAGGACACATAAGGTAAACCATCCGATCAAACACCCCATCGACTACAGAAAAGAGCCCATGCGTTTAGGAAAACAACATATTTAATCAAAAAGCAGGATTAGGCCGATGTTTAATTTAACAGAGGATAATAAACCCTGGTAACACTTTATCAGGATTATATGCAGGAACACGGCGGAATGTAATAGACTAAACTTTCAATCATCCATTATTGAGTTCGTTGGTCTGGCTAATGAGGAGCAATTTTTGCACAAACCATAAGCTTGTTCAATTTTTGTCACGAAATATTAAACGTCTTGTACGAGAGAAAGACTTCGTTATACCCAGTTTTGGAAAACTTAATCCGGTTCACATCAGAAAAAGACAGAGTTTTTTGTAGGAGCAAGGTATAGAAACATTCCCTACATCCACCACTTCAATGATAAAATCCAGATTGTGCCTTGAATAGAAACCAAAGAACTTGGCGATTCCGATACCTCAGCGGAAAATAACCGAACACTTTCCTATTAGTATACGAAGAGGCAATTACGTCATACTTTACTGACTAGTAAGAGTCAATCAACGATCGAATAGCTACTTTGAAGAAAGTGGTTCGGTATGGACTCCTGTGATTTCAAAACAAAATAAAGGCCAACTCTCACTGAACCTATGAGCTTATGTTTGGTGCACTTGAAACGAAGCAGCTAGCAGCTATCAAGAATTTTATTCTTCTCCCTAATTGCTGTTAAATCTTCAAAGGTAGCGCAATCGGTGTAATAAAAACCGTTTGAAGCAAAAACTTTTCGAGAATTCTGTATCGTATACAAAGCATTTTTATACAGTGTATTTGATTGGCAGTAGTTAGAACTTTCAAAGAACAGGCACAGATTATTCAAAGCATGCTTTTAATCCTTTTAAATCTAATGCACACCTGTGGAGGATGATCCTGCTGTGCTTGCTTGCACCCAAATTAAATACTTCTGGATGCATTACCTTTCATGCCATATCAAAACATTGAGAAGCGATTTTCCGCTGTGAAACCTTCGATCGAAAAGTTTTGACAAATATCGCAGAGCATTAAATTGCTTGAAGCAGACTGGCAAAAATTTAGAAATTGATTACGAATGCACATTTCAATTTTGATTGGTCTTTATAAAAATCTGCACTTTTTCAAGTGAACTTTACTGAAAAATCTAATTTTTAATTTTCACGAACAATTCAGCTCAGCTTTGAAAATTGCATGATTTATTTGCACTTTTGCAGCAGAGCCTGTGCTCTATTCGTGGAATCAGTAAACATTGTTCATCAGCACCGACCAATGGCTCAATGAGGCACAGTTGCACTTGTATTTCTTCAATGGTATAAATAATCTGGAAAGTTTTGCAACGGAGAACATGATATTCGTCTACACGTCACTTGTAAGTCCAAGAGATATTTTTCGATCCCCTTTCATTGTACAAATGCATAGATAATGCCCGTGCTCACTGCAAATCTGAAATATTCATGTGATGCAGGATGGAATCGCAACCTGGAAAAAATAATGAAAGTGGATATGAAAATCAAAGTTTGTCTTTTTATATGTATAAGTTCACGTAAGTAAGCCGAATGGAAAATCAGCTACATAGGGTACTTGTTTGCCCATTTACACATATAAGAAAGGCTGTGGTTTCTGTTAAGCGTTTGCCAAAAAACTAGGTATTTTTATGTTTGCATTTCAGGGAGCTAAGTGCGACCCGATGTGCGTCTACAGAGCTGTAGAATATGCCCAAAAACCTCGTCCTGTGCGTTTACCTGATGCAAATATATTCGAAGTTCGACTTGCAGGGTATGTACATCTTTGTTCAGTATTTCATTTTAAGTTAAGACCTACTTCTCTTACAGTGAAGGGGCTCTTGACAGACTTGTGCTTAAATTAGCAGATAAGCTGAAAGAAAAGGTAAGTGATGACATTCGATTATAAGTTGCGCTGCGTGAGCCAAAATTGAGAAATCGGTTACAAAGTTTTGCCAAAAGTGCACTTTTGCAGTACCTGAGTAATTGCCGACCTGCAGGCAGTGAGCACATATCAGACCATCTTCATGCTATTCAAAAGCACCGTCTACAAATTCTCAACTTCCATGTTTTTGTCGCTTTTAGGCCTACTGAAGGTCTCGCTTTCGAACATGGAGTCGAGAATCCGCGAAACCCCCAAAACCCCGTTTTGGAGAACCCGCTGCAACAAGCGCGGACGAGTGAAGACCTGCAAAGTGGGCGGGCAACCACTAGATGGAGTGATCACCTTTTTATCTATCCCTTCCGGATTTCCCTCTTCAGAAGCAGCGATTTACGATGCAGTTTGGGGTTTGCCAGTGTGGGCCATACTAGTATGCGATCATAATCTCGCCAACCCCCATTTAGGGTAGGAGGTGCCTTTGATGGATCGGTCAGTTGCCAGGGTTCCCAGTGTTGCCAGTGTTGTTAGTGTTGAAAGTGTTGAATGTGGAAATCATTAATCTTGCGGTTTCAATCTTTCACCGACTAGTACGTTTGTACTGGACATGGAAAATGAGAAATGAAACTGAAATGAGAGGAATGCTTTTGCATGCAAGATTTCCTCATATAGTTGGAAGATAGCGGGCGTGTTTGAAATAGGCAATCTTAAAATATTTGAGAACGCTGCTGAAGTCTCATGAGAATGCGTGTTAGGTGTCGAATTTGGCGCTTCTGCGATTAGTGAGCAAAAGACCTATGAGAGGTGTTGCAGCTTCTCCAATGTTGGAGATTGCCCCTTTCAAACAAGTCCTTCACTTTCCAAAAAGTTCGTATGAGGTTTTTGCGAGCATTTGACATTTCATTTCAGTCTCATTTTTCATTTCCCATTTCCATCGAACGTACTCACCAGCCGGTGAGATTGATCGAGGAAGAATGAAACTGCAAGACTAATGATTTCCACATCCGACACTTTCGACACATTTAACACTTTCACTCACAGCCAACACTTTCAACACAGGCAACATTGGCAAACTCTGACCGATCCCTAAGGACCTAGGTATAGCGTTGCCCAAATTAGATACGTTAAAGTGACAATGAAGCCAAAAATTGCTTCAAGCCGCTCGATTGCACTCGAGATTGTTCTCTATATCTTACTCATAGTAGGACATCGTTACGATCAATTTTTAAGCAACAAATTCAACGATTCTAAGCAAACCTGTAAGACTAATCTGTAAATTAGAAGTCCGACCGCTTATACTAAGTTGTATCGTCACAGAAGCAAACACGTTTGTTAGAGTTCAAATCTCTTCCTGTTTTGCCAAAAACTTCTAAGTTATGCAATCTACCTCATAAACACGTTTCGGACCGCGAAATCGCGCGTGGCGAAAAAAAGAGTACTTTCAGCCGTCAGCCAACAAAGGAGCTTTAATTCGTAGAATGTGTACTACATCTGTAATTAGCATGTCAGGTAAGATCCATACCCAAAGTTGCGAGCGAACTCAAATTGTTTGAATTTTGTCGCCTGAGAAGGGCTTCTGTGCTTTCTTGAAAGGTAGGAACAACAACTCAGTCTCTAATTGCATCCAAAAGTATCTATGTTGTACCCGATACACATCATTATCGGACCTACGGTTTTTCTCTCTGAATTCGAAGCAAAGAAATGTTGCGACGTCGCACGCGTCATTCGCGTTGCTGCACTTCGTTTCAACTGTTGTTCGAATTGTCCTTATATCTCCTAAACAAATATTGGCGGCACAGCCTTACAGAGTCATTTATTGAAGAAGAAGGAGCTTAGGCCTTTGACTTGATAACCTTGGACAAAAAGAAAACGTCTTGTAAACTCTAGAAAGATCTCTTAAGGACGCGTGCTCCACCATGTGCAGCACCGGTCCGAAACGTGTCAAGATGTATAACCGCACGAGGTAGTTTTTCAAAGCAATCACAGGATTTCATAAGCACGCTACCGACTACTTAGCCTCAGCTGGTAAAATGATTGTGCGAAAAAGCACCGATTGCGAATGTGTGATGCATCGAGTGTACTCGCCTTTGGCGCAAACATGTGTGGCGCTTGCACGTACAAAAGCAGTACCTTTGCATAATCTTGCTTATTCACTGCAACTTGTTGCTTTTCAAACAGCATTTTATGTTTTAGAAAGGAAAAGGGAAAAAAGAAAAAAGGTTTGGATGCGCTTATCCCAAAGATCGTGTCTTCTGTAAAGTGGGATATTGTAAATAGCCTTTTCGTGTCATGTCGAGCAAATGTCGTTAATTTCGGTCCCTCTCTCATCTCTGCTGTCATTCTGAGAAAGAAGAATGAAGGAAATGTGAATAAAATATGTAATCGATGACATTTCTTCTTTGTTTAAGAAAACACAGGTATTTATTTTTTCTATGATTGTATGTGTGTTTCAAATTTTTCGAAAACATTTTGCATTTGTCAATAAGGTGCACAATTATGACTGGTCCAGTTGTCAGTAAGCTCAAGGATGCAAGTGAGATGAGATCATTGGATATAGTCACATTAAGGAAATAACATTTTTTCTCCTACTCTTCAAAACAGTAGTGTAGAAATCACATCTAACACTAGTAGATCCAATGTTTGACTTTGTTTTTTCGTGAGTTCTATAGACAGGTAGCAGGCAACTTGTTGTGCATCTCTGAATAACACAGAGTTGGGTGAAAGTCTTTGAACAAGGTATTTTTTTGTCGAAAACGCTTGGGAACGCTGGAACGCTGTCCATGGTGGCACGGAGGGCCCCATGTCGATTTCCTCCCACGCATTCTGATGAGCATTTCGCAGAGACTCCAGAGTCTTGTGTGGATGAGTGCAGCTCTTGGACTGAAGAGCTGATCACGCGCAATAGTCGAATGGATTTGGACCCGACAAATTCAGAGGCCATTCCCCAGTAGTGAAGTTCTCAACTTTGCTTTAGAACCATGCTTGAACAACCTTCGCTTTGCGCGCAAATACGCTATCATGCTGGGAACACCAATCGCACCGGCAACATAGGTATTAGTCCAGGCCAACGACTCCTTCTTCAGGATGCTATCCAGACGCGTAGCAGCGTTCACCTTGATGCCCTGTGACACAAAAATCGGCGGCATCTTGTTGTCGGAAGCGAACACCGCTCAAACCATCACAGAAATCGGATGATGCTTTCCTTCTGCGAGTCGACCCCTTGCTATTAGATTTTGAGCGATTCGGTAATGATTCTTTTGTTTTGGCAACCAAAAACACTTGGCGTGCCTTGGGATAGAGGACTACAAGTCATCGAAATGGGGCAGTCTCCGCGGGCGCAACAAATACACACGCTTGCATATGCATGGAGATGTGTTCCTGCAAGAAATCCGCGCGGGACCCTGCAAAATTGGCAACGTATAGCCCTCAATCCGTGCCTTCTAGTAACGTTCAAGCAGTAGGTGGCATCTGCGCACTCGTCCCAGCTCCATGTGTCCTCAAAAAACATAATTTCTAGCGTCTTGAAAAGCTTCATCCCAAGGTGGTCCTTTTTCACGATGTCGGAGACAGTCCTGTCACAGATGGACAACTCTGAAGTCAGCTCAATCAAGCTTTACGGAGGGAACGATCTTCCGATTTTTGTGAGTGTTCGCAGTTGCCAACTTACCACTCCTACAACGGTCTTGAGTGCTGTGCATACCGTGGAAACGACGTAAAGTGGAAAAGACGTGATATTTGAATTTTCGAGAACCCGCGCAACTTACTGGTCAGCCATCTCCTCCTTGTGCATCTTCACATTTAACGCTCGCTCAGCTCTTGAACGCAAAACTCAGACAAGAGTAAAGTTGATAGTTCAGCTTTGGGGGGGGGGGGGGCTTATAGTATAACAGATACACTTATACAACAGTATAAGATGCCTATACATATAATTCACATACAAGAAGTATGGAAAATCCGAAAATGCAATGAGATCCAGATTTGTTCAAGGACTTTCCCTCGACCCTGTAGGAGCAAATGGAGTGCTGCTGCCGATTGCTAACTGATTTGTGGTTTTGCATTCGATTATCAAAAATAGTGGAGTGCTGCTAGGTAGCCCCGAAAATTTTAAAAATTTCTTACATAGCAAGAGTACATGCGTTACCGTTTTGATCTCGAACGGGATTGCAAAAATACACGATTTGTTTGAAGTGTTTTTGGCGAGAAAGTTCACTTTGATTGCATATTTTTTTGCAAATACACTGACCAAAACGCAAAAACAGTCACAGGGTTTAAACTAAGCCACCATGTTAATTTTCTGACCTCGAATTTTATTTTTTGCGAGGAAAGAGAATCTTAACCTGCTAGACACAGTTCATTTTGGCTTTGCAGTTTATGTCAGTTCGAAGCGTGTCGCAGGAATGCGCTATAGCTATGTTATAAATTTTGTTAGACTTGCGAGGCAGGTGTACTCCAATATTTTTTGAGATCGAACTCAAAATCATGAATTTGAAGTGCCCTTGTTGGAAGCTTATCTCTTCAAGGGCCAAGGAAGAGCTGTTTTCTTTAGTCGGCTGTTGAAAAGCACGAACTTTCTATTCTTAAATACTTAAGCATAATTTTGGGTTGATGGTCTGAAAAGTGATAATTTTGAATTGCAAGAACTTTTTCATCGACCTAATACAATGTAGGCTTACGCTAGCAAAATCAAAGCAAATTCCGTGTCTTTGAAATCACGGGCTGGTACGCACGGATTTTCTTCGATTTGCTAGACTGAAGGTGGCCAGAAAGGAAGGATATTCAAAAGAGCCTCAGAGAAACATGTAATTAGCGCAATCCTTTTTGGGAAGAAAAATCGCAACTTGTTTCAAACCGCACATTTCGAAATTTAAATATTGTCATTCGCTCATTCCCGAATTTTTGCAACATACACTATGATGCTAAATGAAACTGAGAACTTTGCAAAAAAACCGGGCAAATACTCTGGGTCGGTAGTAAACCTATCGAAACTCAGAGTTAACTCTGAGTTATCTCTGAGCTAACGCGCAACTTTT